AGGAAGGAAGGAAGGAAGGAAGGAAGGAAGGAAGGAAGGAAGGAAATCCATGTTATAAATATCCTTAAGTACATCCACTATGGAAAGTGGATCTCACCTGCACTTGCCTCTCCTCTAACATTGATTTCTCCAGCAATATCCTAAGTGTTGCTTTTTTTGTTGAGAAATATATCTCTCTGTGAAAGCAAAATTGGCTCTGTGCTGTCCTTTTCGGGCATCAAAGATGAAAAAGAAACAACACAGTTTTGCACATGAATAACATTTAAAGTTAGTTATAGGGGCCCCAGGTTCAGCCTAAAATCTCTTTCATTCCCACCTTTCCTTTTGCAATCATGATCCTAACGGGCAGAATATTATTTTTCAAACACAGGAACCTCTCATATACATGAATTACATATGTTTCCATCCCAATATCCTTATCTCTTCCCACTCTCGATAACCACCCCGCTGCCCTCAATGGGAAACACCAGTTACTTCTTTGGAGGGAGACTTAAACTGTGTTGGTGATTTGATTGAGAATGTTTCTCATCTATGTCCACATGGGCAAAGATGAGTTTGGGCTACTGCTTTTGTAGAAAGAAATCAATGTCATGTTCAATCATACAACTGCTCTCTGTTTATAAATACTCCACCTTGGACTAATTCATCCCTGCCTTCAGAAACAGTTGAGTAAACTCTGATCATTAATGGGATTTTCAGTTCTAACTCAAGGTTAACTTGGCAAATAATGTTTCTACAGACAAGCTTCTAAGAGGAACCCGTAACAGGGTCAAACTTTTTCAGTTTCTGTCCCACGGTGTGTTCACAAGGAGGACAGTATCATTAAGAGTAGGAGTAACAGTTGGAAACTGAGATGGCATATCTGCGCAGCAATCAAGGTTAATATAGAAAAGAATTGTTCATTGAAATTCACAAGGAAAAATATCCCTGAGCATCCTAAGAGGTGATGCAGAGGTGTGAGAACTGCTATTACCTGGTGTGTTGTGTGGTTTCATTCTTCTGGGATGGGTGGTTGGGTTATGCGAGGAGTTGACTTGGATTTGTCTGTGGTATGTGGGGTATTTTCTTCTTCTTCTCTCCTTGCATTTTAGATTTCTTTTTACCACATGGCATAAACGATGGGGAAATATGGATGTTTCTTCAAATGCCCAACTTGGATAATCAAGCAAATTAAAGAACAAATCTCAGTACTCTGGCCTCAGGACCACAGCCATCTCTGCACCTGTAACTCAAAGAATGAAAATGCTGGTTATTTATGTTGTATTTTCCCGCCTCTTGGATCTCTAGCGAGTTGACCTGGTTTTTATAGCCCTTTTGCCCAAGTAATGAGGATTCTACCCCTCACTTCACCTCCCTCCCCCCCCAACCCTATAACTGAGTGGCTTAGGAGGAGATCTGTAACTGGGATGAAGCAGCTGTTGGCTTCATGCCGTCCTCTAACTTGATTATTCTTTGGACACGTTAGGCAAGCATTAGTGATTGATAATGACGCTAATTAACCCCTTTCCTTTCCAAACAGTAAACTGCTGCCAGCAAGATGCTGCAAACAATAAATATAAAACACTGCATACATCAATATCTGTTTAAAGCACAACTTCATTTGGGCACATTTAACCATACTGCTTTCAGTTAACAATTTCGCTGTTTATCCAAGCACTTCTCCAAAAGCCAGAGGGAGGAGGCAGAGGAAGAGAGAGGGTTAAGAAAAGGAGCCTGCGACTTTAAGACCACAAAATGCTGTCATACCTGTCAGTTGCAACAAAGTTAAGCTCTAATGAAAACCATGCGTAATTTTTTTTTTTTTAATTTCAGGTCAATACTTTTTAAAAATTCAATTAATCCAGCTCTGTTCTTAACCTATTTAAACTTAACACAAGGTTGATGACCACATAGGATTTTTTCTTTGGGGGGGAAAGCAGCTCTCCCACCTGACATGAAATTATTATGAATTTACTTTTGATTGAGAAAGAATTGGGGAGAACCTGTTTCATAAAGACTGGTGAAATTCAGATTTTTAGCAGGATTTGGGGAAACCAGGACAAATTTGATCTGATTGTGCAGTCTAACATGACCTGAGTTGTAAAGAAATGTACATTAAATTTGGAATTTTGATAAATGAATATTCCTAGCAAGTGAATAAAATGTATTCAATTAACTAAAACCCTGTGCACTTCTGAACTGAAGTGGAATCGACTGTAATTGATTTATTTGAAACCAGAGGTTAAGGACTGAATTAGCTAAGTACAACTGGGTATTTCAAGCCACTGACTTCTCAAATGTCAAATCCCTTCTATTTTAAATATTATTTCAGCTGCGGGGCATTGCAGTCCTGATGGTAGTTCCATCAAGAACTCAAATTATATTAATATTCGATTTTGGGGAGGAATGGATTGGATTGTGATTTTTAAAGGGTGTTGGAGAATAGAAGGGGTAATAAAGGAGCATTGTGTTTTTATAAAAACTGGGTGTGGTAATTAGCATAGCCTATAGCAAGCATCCTTATAATTCAAGTATGTATCCTAATTTGAGTTAGTCCAAAGAGAATCACGGTTGCTAGTACATAAACATGTGACTTGTCAAGTAATCACCATGTGCTTTAAAAAATACACATCGGTCACAACAGATAAAGTCAAAAATCTATATAGTCTTCAATTAGTCCCATAAAAATTTTTAATAATAACCCCTCTGCTCCTCCCACCCCTTAAAATATATATATAACTTCATTTAAATTTTTGTTAAAAAAAAGAAAGTCACAGTATCCTACTTCTCAAAATGTCCAACTATAGAATAAAAATAACTAATTCTGTGCATTTGGAAACCATTGTTTATTATGACCTTGTAATGCTCTAACCCACTATTTCCTTTCTATCTTTCTCAGGATGCAAGGATTATATTGGGTTCAGGTTTTCCAACATAACAAGCATCTGTAAATCCAGATATGAATGAATGGTATTTAATAAGATTGTTTTCGTTTTAAAATGAGTATTTATGTGCCGATGGAGAAAGAGCAGCAATGTATGGCTGTTTATGAATGTTATTGTGCCTGAGGTTAGGATCCCCCACACAATCTGAGATGCAGCCAAGAAAAACAGCCCTGATAGACAATGCTTCACTTCACCTGCTACGATGCTGTGTGCATTTCATTTCTGTCAAGAGTATGTACAGTTAGGGTTCATTCGCCTCATTATTTTGTTACATCTACGTTACAGTTAACCAGTCTCTCTAGGAAATAATAAATAACCGCTTTAAAAAACAATTGCCGCGTGGCTTTCTGAGGATACACATTCCATTTGAAAAAAAAAAATTTTTTTTTTTTAAAAACCCACCATTGTTATGAATTCTCTGGCTTTGGAAAATAGAATTTAGACTCCACCAACTCTCGTTCGTCTGTCGAGATTGATTTTACACAGCCTTCCATAAGGAGATTAGAAAGCAAAAGGCTGCAAAATGGACACTGTCTAATGCTTTGCTTCCTTAGTCCTTCGGAATGTCAAACCGGATGAACAAATGTTAAATTTCCTCCAGTATGTATACCTAAACACTTTTTCTATGACCTTTCCTATAAACCTTCCAGTTAACTACCTCCATTTTCTTCTTAAAAACCATTAAAAATCCCCCTCACTTCCAAAGCAAAGTCCTTCCAAATCAGACTTTAGAAAAGCTCTGAATTCGCCATTTTTATGTACAGGAAGTCCTTCCTGCTTTAAAAGCTAAGCATACAGCCCTGTTACTGTAGAAGACAGATAGGAAAGGTCTGGAGAAGCAGGAGTCTCAGCCCTCCCCCATCCTGTCCACCCCACCTCAGAGCACATTTTATATTTCTGAAAGGTCCTAGGAAGAGCCCCTTGCTGATAGAAAAGGGTGGGTCGACATTTAGGGAGGGCAAGCAGAAAAGATTCTGGGAATCGACATAATTTCCCACTTACCTCTGCTACCTCAGGAGATCCTAAGAACAGCATAGTAGTGAACTCATCCCTAAATAAAATACTAAAATAAATGGGAGACAAGGTACCCTCTCTTTCTCTCCTCTTCATGCATTTCTGCCACCATTCCTTTTCTCTTCCCAGAAAACTAGAGCTAGATTTTGCTCATTTACAAGTCTTAGCCACTGAGAACCCGAGCTAGCAAGTGAAGGTTTAAGTGGGTATTTCCTTTGTGCTAATGAACTAACAATTCAAATTTCAGTTATCCTCTGAGACAGGTTCCAAAGTAGTTATGGGGGCGCGGGGGGGGGGGGGAACAGGGGGGGGGGGGAGGGTCTTCTGTTCTGTTCCCCATCTTCCTTGTCATCCTGAACGTTTGGTTCTGAAGGTTTTATATTGTGGTTTCCAAAACACAAACGAAAACCTAAAGGATCAACATAAATAAAATAAAACTTTATTTTTAATAATAAAATTAATGTTTCTAGTAAGGAAAAGATAGTATGTCATTCCTTTAGCAGTACAAACAATCTTTTATCCAAAAGAATACATTGGGTTTTATTGTGTCATTTGTCTGAATACAGACTCAGTGGAATATCTAAATGATACCCTGCTCTGAACTCCAAGTTGAAAGTAAGTTTTTATTATACTTGAGGGAAACAATGGGTTCAGCTGCTTATTGCAAGGAGCAATTGCCAAGGGAGAGTTAAACTCAATTACTGTAACCATACTGAATAAAAAATACTGCCAAGAACAAAAATACGCCTGGGTAAAGACAGCCACTGAATAAAAAAAAAATCGACATAAAGCGTATCAAATATTTATTTATCTGGGCAACAAAGGACTATGATACATTGACAGGCATGGAGACTACGCCAGCACAACTCAATACAATACAACTAGAACTGCTTCCAAAATGGCCAGTGAAAATACAGAATACCAGGTGGTCCCAAATGTTTGAAGTTCTCTGAACAAAAAGAGAGAGCAAGGAGAGAGACAGAGTGTGTGTGTGGGGGGAATCCCTTACCCTTGGTTTAAAGACAATACTCATTTATTGCTCAAAAGATGCTTTCAAGGGAGGACAGTGGAATAAAATAAACTTTTTTTTTTCTCCCCACAATACATAGAAGGGTTATCAAACCACTCAAGTTTAAAAATCTTTCCAGGGTCCAATATCAGTTTTTTCTTTCAGTTCAATGAAAAGCTAAATGTAATACTAATTATATATAAAATTTTATTTTACTTTTTTTTTTTATTCGTTCAGCTGTTTCATTGTCATCTTTAACATGCTACAACAGGGCTAAATTCATGAATCCCAGAGGGGGAAAAAAAATCCCCCAAACCTTGAATTTCTAAAAAGTACCATGAACCACATGAAGAACTAATAGGGAAGATTCAAAACCCACTAAACAAGAGGTAAACGAGATCACCAGATAAATAAAAAAAAAAAAAAAGAGGCTTAAAACAGACTCACCATATTTACAATTCCCATTAAATTACACATAAATAAATATATACAGAGACGTGAACACTGATTCCCTTATATAACTGTGAATCGTGTTGCCAGATAAAGTTCAAGTTGGTCGCTTTACCTTGAAGAGGAAAAACTTCTACAACTGAAGACATGACATGGGACTTCGTGTATTTGTGTTCAAGTTTATTCACAATACTGATAAAAACGTCATTTTCCTTTTCTTTTTTTTTTTTTTTCTAGTATGGCTACACTCTGAACTGAAGTATGTAAGGGAAGGTGGTGATTCAGTCCCATGAAGCTCATATAATTTTTTTAAATTTTTTATGGTTTTTTTTTTTTTTTTTTAGAAAAAAACCGTTTTTAACTTTTTTGTGGTGGTGGTCGTTGTTGAGTTGTTGTTGGTTTTTTTTTGTTTTTTGTTTTTGTTTTTTTTAAAAAAATGGTTCACAAACTTGGACAGAACTTTTCTTTGCTGGCTTCACGGCCTGTTCTGTTCTCTTAGGCTCCACAGGAGGGCAAAGGGGAGTTGGCGCCGACGACGGGGGACGTCGAGGCAGGGGGCCAGGTCAGCGGGGGGCGGGGGGGGGGCTGTCCCCGCTGATGGCAGAGAGTCCCCCAGACGCTGGGGGACCGAAGGTGGCGGCGGCGGAAGCAGCAAGCGGCAGTAGCAGCAGAGGGGGTGTGCTGGTCCCGGGGCTGTCCCTGGGCTGTCCCCTGCCCGCGGGGGTGGGGGGGTGGGGGAGGGTAGGTGGGGTGGAGACTGGGTGGATGGGCTCCCGGGCTGGTGAGGCCAGAGAGGCAGGGCCGGAGGACAGCCTCACTTTCTGTGCTTCTCCTCTTTGTCACTGCTTTTGGCGCTGTTGTCCGTGTGGCTGTTGGGGTTGTTGCTGAGGTACATTTTGTCCATGGCCTTGAGGGCCTCGGTGAGATAGTTCTGCAGGGCCGTGACGGCGGCGCACACCGCTGGGCTGCCGAAGCCGTGGGAGATGAGGTTGAAGTGGGTCAAGCAGCTCTGGATGCCAGGCTCCAGGATGGGGTTGGGCCGTGAGTTCCCCAGGGGAGATCGGTCCTGAGCCAGCAGGTCAGTGAACTCTTTGCATATCTGTCTGCAGCACAAGTGAAGCAGAGAGAGAGAGAGGGAGGGGTGAGGGGGAGAGAGAGAGAGAGAGAGAGAGAGAGAGAGAGTTGAGGCTCCCCTGTGGGCAGCGCCAGCAGCAAAGAGAAAACCTTTCTCCCTGCAGTTACCTCCACCGGAATCCAGAGAACCCTGACCTGCCCCAAGGCCCCAGAGACAGACTTGGGGGGTGGCCACATGTTGGAAGACCCAGTCACCCTTCCATGTCCACTGAAACATGGCCCTCCCTACCTTCACAAATGTCTCTCTCCCTCCCACCCCTCAGCTACACCTAACTGCTAGCCCCCTCCTTTCTCACTCACACCAAACACCCCAGACACAGAAAAACATTCCACACATTTAGAAGAGAAACAAAGGAGAAGGAGAGGCACAGAGGAGTCAGAAACATAAGCATCTCCCCAGTAGCTGCCAAGAGCATGCAGCCATCCCAGTTGTCCTGTTCAAAATATCAGAGTCCCACTTCCTGCTCTGTTCTAGAGAGACCAAGGTTGGTGGGATGAAATCTCTGCCCGTTCACTTCAAATCAGGTTGGAGGCAGATAGAAAGGCAAACTTTGCTGGGATTATTTTGCCTTTAAATAAAGGCACAAAAAACCTGTTACTTGGGGACAATTCAGACTGAAATTGAGAGAGAGCTCAGAGAGAGAGAGAGTGAGAGAGAGTGCTGGGGGGAGGGGCAGAGAGAGAGAGAGAGAGAATCTCAAGCAGGCTCCATGCCCCAGCCTGAGGCAGGGCTCGATCTCAAGATCCTGAGATCATGACCTGAGCTGAAATCCAGAGTGGGATGCTTAACCAACTGAGCCACCAAGGCACCCCTCAGACTGATTTTTGAGAAGAAATAAACACTTCCATGTCAATTTCCCATTCCAAGGTGGGGGGGAGGGGAATCTCTAGGGAAATTGTGAATATCGGTGTGCTTAGGAAGCTAAGGGAAGAGAAAAAGTTGAAATCTCTGAAAGGGTCTTGAAAAGTTGGAAATACAGACAGGGAAGGCCTATACACTGGAAGCTGTCTCTGAATCGGGGAAGCAAGGCCTAGTTGGGGCCTTCCTGGGGCAGCAGTAGCCTGGAGGGGGTGGGGGTGTTGGTATGAGGCAGGTAGGGAGGAGGGAGAATGGGGGAGTATTGGCAGGCTGCCCTCTCCAAGGCCAGCTGATGTCCCCAGGCCAGAAACTGTCCTGCCTGAGGCCTCAGCCTCTGCCCTCTGGTTCCAAGCCCTCCTGTGACATCGACTTTGATAATTAAGGGCTTCCAAACAAGCCTTTTAATTTCCAGAAAACATATCAAAACAGTCATTTTCTTTTCACACACCACCTGGAGAAGCCTATTCAGCCCAAGCACTGATGGGAATATAACTTGGGCCATTTTGAAACCTATTTGACATCTCGCCTGTAGGCTAAAACTTGTGGGCTCTGTGTGTGTGTGAGAGAGAGAGAGACAGAGACAGAGAGACAGAGTGAGACTTTCCAGGAGGGAGGCAAAAGGAAGGCAAGAAATGGGATAAAGGATTAAGGCTGAAACTAGGAAAACTTCTGACTTGCACATTTTGCAGGCCACTGCTTAATCCTTGCCCTCAGAGAACATATTGATAGGAGACAAAAACTGATACAGGCAAGCCTGTTACCCATTTACAGACTTGATGCTGGTCTTTCTAAAACAACATAGTCACCAATCCACACTCAGCTTCCATCAAATCCCAAGGATACTCCACCCCCATACACACTAATTTCTTTCTTTTTTTTTTTAGACGCACCAAGAATCCCACCTACACTTCCCCTTTAAGGTAGAGTATGGATTCTAAGACTATGCTGTTAACGTCAATTATTTACAACAACAAAGCTGATTAACACCAAACGAAGACAGGAGAAAAGTGTGACCAGAAACGATTTTGATTTTTGTTTCTCTTGACAATAAGACACCGAGACCCCAGAGAGGTAGGGAAATGCCTTACTTTGTAGCCAGGAGCATGTTTTTTCTTGTCACTTGCTCATTGGGATCGGAATGTTGTCGGTTGAGAAATTCAGCTACTGCTTTGGCAGGAAATTCGGTTTCGCACACGTACCCAAAGTCCCTGGCTAGGTGGACCGCTTCTCCTGGCAGGACGCGAGGGAGGAGGTGAGCGCAAGAGAATGAAAAGAGTTGAGGTCAGATTTTCCTCCCAACACTCTTATTTTCTTAACCCAGATGTTGAAGAAAACACAAACTACTTGTTTTCTCGTTTCAGGCATTTTATTTCCTTCTCTGTAGGATCTGGCAGATGAATTTATCAGGAAAAATGGCCACTTGTCCTAGAAGGCCAAGAGGATTTGAAAATGTAAATCCCATCCACCACCCTCCGGTCCCATCCCCCACCCTGATGACATTTTCCCAACTTCTCTTTTAAAGTGTTCCTTGTATTTCAACCTCACACCTATCAACACATTCATAAATGATATTCATAATTACTCGTTGAGCTTTTCTGTGAAGGGAACAACTAAAGGTTTACATTTTAACTTGATCGCATATAATTATCTGTTCATCCAAACCGATTAACCAAGAGGATTTGAGGGTCACTCCACTGAGTCTGTCTGTGTTGTTGATTTTCGAATCTTTGGTTTTAATTTCCTGAACCAGTTGGTTTTTACTGCAGGGCTTCCTGCCATTAGCTCCAGCTCCGGAAGAACGCATGCGCCAATTAGAGCATCAAAGCCCTCTCTGCAGAGCTTGTTTCCATAAAATGGAGCGGATCACAAACAATAACAGTTCTCCAGAAACTGCCTCCCTGCTACAGGACTCAACCCCCAAGCCCATGCACACTCTCACACTACACCCAAAGCCACCACGACCGTTTCCTTGGCGCGTAATTCTTTCGGGGTATGGATAGTGGGTTCTCTATGTACTCATGTTATTTTTAATGCAAAGCTACTGTACTAGAGTTTCTGGCCCTGAACAACTGCTTATTGTTTAATAGTTATATTATCATCTTTAACACCATTCACCAATGCCTCCTAGGATTCCTCCTCAAGTTTACGGTTTTAAACTTTATTTTTAGTTCTTTTTAAAGCTGGAACTCAAATCCCATTGTGATGTATCTCCTCAAACGTAAGGTGTAACGAAGACAAAATGCCTTCTTTAAATATAAATGGTAGTTTTAATATCGACCTGATCATTCAAGTGTTGTTGTTGTTTTTTCCTATTGGCATGAGACATTTCCAACACAACACAAAGGAAAACACAAAGGCAGCTTATACATTCATTCCAACATATCTAAACTTAAGCCAATTTAGTATCAGAAAAACTTAACAGGAATCCAGAGGAAGCAGGAATGTGAGTGGATTCTGATGACAGTGTATCTAGAGCATGGAGTGAGAACAGGGGTAGCTTTTGTTTTGAAGGGGTTGGAAGCTTTGTGTGTGTGTGTGTGTGTGTGTGTGTGTGTGTGTGTGTGTGTGTGTTAAAAACTGCCATGAGAAACTTTTTGCAATGCTTATATGTCTTTTCTCTTTCCCAGCCCAACAATTCAAAATCTAAAATTGTTCACTTTTCTTTCCCTCCACTACAGAAGCACAATTAAATAAGAGATAAGGGAGCATATGTTTGGAAAAAAAAAAAACCTAAAAGGGCATATAACCCTGAGCTTTCAGGACGGTCTTAAATCAGGATGCAGGTCAAAGATTCCCAAATTAATTCAGGAAGTAATGGTCACGCATTTCTCAAACGCAGATGTCAGAATAGCTTAAGTAATTTACTGCTGAGCTCTGTGGAGGAGACAGGAACTTGGAGAATATGCAGTTCTTAAATTTTCACTTTGTTTTGGACTGAATTGGGCTTAGGGAAGTGGAATTTTGTGGCAAAGGGGAAGAAGAAAGGAGGACAGGAAAAAGTACAAATAGTTTTTTGACATGCCAGGATTCTGTTCCCTTCCAGCTATATTCTCTGGGAAGAACAAAACAAAACAAAACAAAACCCGAAACTGCCCAATTGACACAAAATACAACCAAACATCTGGCCACTGAGTATTATCCATTTTCCCAGAAGACAGTTCCCTTCTTGTTAGCAAGTGGACTCGCTTACCCTCCACTAGTGACGTGAGGAGGGTGACGTTGGCAGCTTTACGTCTCCCTGCTGGCAGATTTAATCCTATTTTGTCCAGTTTTTCTCTTAAAGATCTTCCTCCATTTTTAGACTTCGCCCTGTTTCACAATAGATGCAAGAAAGGGATTTAGAAAACACTGGGTTGCTCTGAGTCGCGTTACAGTCACTCTGACAACTTCCTAACGTGTGCTTTTAAAAAAAGTAAGGATCATGGCCCCGAGATACTTAAGGGAGGGAAACCTAGGAAGGAATGGTACAGAAAGATCACAGGAGACAAATGCTAAACTGTAAAGCACCCCCTGTGTTCAGTTATTCTTGCAGCCAAGGTGGCAGGTTGGAAGGTTTTGATTTCCCAACTCTCTAAAGAAGAACCACAAACAAACAAACACAGTTCTCATCTCTAGGGTTTGAGGTATTTTTGAGTTCAACTGATTACTGTATATTTTCCCTGTTGTTACAATCACACAAATCCCAATGGGGTCTTTAAATTGTCTTTGCAAGAACGGCTGTTAGGTTGTTCAGAGTAACCAAAGTTATCATCACTCTCACGTTTCTTGCTCTGGCTTTAGCCCCAATGGGAAATTCATTTTACCAACTGTTTACATGCCATGTCACTAGCCTAACTAGAAATGTCAAAAGCGGGTATCAGCCTTTAAAAATTTCACTGATTTCAGAGACAATGGAGGTGGTTCTAAATAGATGTCTAAATAGACTCCCATAATCAGAAAGTGGTTAAGATAAATTGTTTAAATAAAACAGCAAATTAATTAATTTCAGATTTTATTCCCTACTCAAGTGCTCTGTAATTGTGTGGATTAGATTATACTCCCCTAGGTAAACAGTCTCCAATATTGGGGATGGGGGAAGGGGAGGAAAAAGCAGAGGGTGGATCCAGATCTGTGTCAGAGAAAGATTACAAAGGGAAGCAAAATGACTGTGAAGGAGGAAGAAAAGATTGGAAAAGCTGATGTTTAAAACCTTCCAAAAATGGTTTTATAGGCTTTGTGTGGGATATGCCCATCAGAGCGGGACTATGGCTCCATAGATGCATAAATGAATAAACGTCGAAAGAGTGAAGTTCTTGGTCTACTTTCTTATTTAAAAAAAAAAGAAGAAAAAAGAAAAGATCATCTGGGAAAGTTCAACCCAACACCCACCACTCACAAAGTTGGGTGGAACCCTAGGAGGACGAAGCCCAAGGGAGGGAGAAACCTGCCCTGAGGGAAGGTGCTTCACCTTGCAGGCCCTTATCAAATCTTATCTACGAAATGAAACCTTCCGACCTCACAGGGCTGAGACGTGTATCCCTGGCCACGTATGTAACATGCACTCGTGGGTAACGACTACACATAGTGCACGTACACGTGTCTTGCGTGCTGCCTGGAGCACATCGCGGCAGCAGTGCCTAGGGACCACTAATGCGAGCGCCTTAGGCACAGGGAGTAGCCGTCTGGCCAGAGGTGACGGGGAGGTGGGGGGAGGGCTGCAGACTCAAGAGAAAGCCAACGTCTTCTACTTAAAACCCTATTCAAGGGACGGTGGGTTACCGTCGGAGACCCTACACGGAGGTAAGGCAAAGTAAGGCGCCTGAGAGTAAGTTTTCCAGGGCTTGCAAGGTGCACGCGAGGAGGCAAAAGGCGGCTGCACGGCGCCCCGCCGCTGCAGCGGCCGGCACTGAACCCGCGGTGCAGTGAGCTGCGCGTGCGCGCGGGGAGTTGGGTTGGGGGTGGAGGGCCCGGGGAGCGCGCTGCGGCCGCGGACCCGAGCGCGCGCCAGAACGGCGAGCGCGCGGGAAAGCTACGGAGAGCGCAGGCGCGCGCCGCCTCATCCCGCCCCCAGCTCCCACCCACCCGGTTTTACGACCTTCTCCCCGCCCCTTTCTTTTCCCGCGAAGGGAGGGCCGTGGCGCGAGGCCCGTTTGCGTCGCCGCCCAGGCGCAGGCGCAGTGTTTCCCCGGGCCGCGGGGCGGGGCGGGCAGGGCGGCGCCGGGCCTCACCTCCGCAGCACTCCGCCCAGCAGCGAAGCGTTGAGACACTCGGGCGGTGAGAGGCGCCTCTGTACTTCCGCCACCGTGACCTTGTACTTCGAGGTGGAGCTGAGAAGCGAGAGACGACCCGGAACTGAACAGAAGACTTCGTTGGGGTTCACGACGCCGCCGAAGAGGTTGTCCTTGTTTATGGGGATGGCGGAGACGGCGTTGCTGTTGGACTTGGACAGGGACACGGGGCCTGCGGAGACAGACGGGGAAGCTGCGTGTGGGTGTCGGGGGTCCCTCCCAAGTCCTGCCGGACCCCGGCCCTCGCCCCGGCTTGCGCCGCAACCCCCACTTTCCTTCCAGCCATGAAAAATCCTGTGGCTCCTTTTCCCCACCTTCTGTCTACTCCCTGCAGTATTCCCGTCCTGAGGATCGAGCCTCAGCCCCTCGGCGCACCTCGCCCGGCGGGCGGGAGGCGCCCCCACCTCGCCCCACCAGCCAGGCCTGTGCTTCTGCCTGGACCCTTCCCTTTTAGCCCTCAGGGTGCTGTCTAGAGATGGTGGTGAAATTGTGACCCTCTGGGCTCTCATCCGAGGAGAGATGCTGGAGTACCGGTATAGGGTGCAGGGGAGGGGATTACGTTTGCACACCGAGAGCAAGCTATGTGTACTTTGGAGGTTCTGTGGGGGGGGGGGTTCAGTGTTGGGGAGAAACTGTCCCCAAGACCTGTAATAAAGATCAGCAGAGAGTTTAGATGGCTGAAGTGGCCTGTAAGTGAATATTTCAGTTAAGGCACCAACCTGGGAGGTGGTGGATTCTCTTGTCACATACCACACGTGCCCCAACCTTTTGATAAATAGGCCCTTTCCTACGTTTAGTTTTGAAAAGGACCCGAGTTTTGGAAATCCATTCCACAGCCCCATTTTGAACAGGGAGAAAAAAAAAGGATAAACAGGCCTACCATATACACTAGAAATATGCCCTTTTGTTGAGCAAATAGTTAATATCCTTGTCTGCTTAAGTGTCTTCATTGGCAAGGGGAGAGGATATATTCTTACTAGTTAAAATCATAAGCTCTTCATTGTCGGCCCCACCATAGTTAGAAAAAAATTCAGGGCCAGGAAAAAGTGTACTACCATGTTACATTTCTCAACATCAATATAATTCAGATGCATTCACAACCATTTAAGTACTGTATGCATTTGTATTTTAAAATTCCACAAGGAGACATATATAATAATATGCATACATTCTACTCAGTACTCCTCCCTCCTTAATGGGGATATTCTAGACGTATGGGGAGGTGGGGGGCTCTAGGTTTTGGATAGATCACTTGTGACATTAATAGCTCTGGGGAGGCTAATAGAGACAATAGGAGTTAAACGAACTCTTGAGAGATTACTAATAAAAGAGCCAATTATCATGTCGACTTGGAAAGAGCATCTCTTAAGATTTATCCCTTGCACATCTAATTTGACGTGACAAAGACTTCACAGATGCAAAAATGAAACTTTAAACTAGCTAACAATATACTGATTGGGGTTAGAAATGAGAACAGTTTTATATAGCATCGTCCTCTGGTGGTGCCTAGATTCCTGTAATGTAACATTGCTACCATAACAACAACAAAAAAAGCTGCTGTGAATAGCATTTAATCCAGTGAACTTTATTTCTACTCACTAAACACAATACAAATTACAAATCCATCCAAATCACTTGACACTTTTTAAAAACAATTTCTGCTCTGAACAATTATGCTAATAATCCTGACATCTTCAAGATGCTAATTTTAACCAAAAGCCAAATTTTTGTTAACCTAATTCACAAAGTTTAAAAACCCTTAAACAGCTAATGAGAAATTAAATTGAAGAACATGAAAGTTCTTTTCTTCCTCTGCTAAGGAGTGTTAACAAAAGACACAATTGCTTTTATATTAATGTTGAATTATTTGCACTATTTTAGCATTATACACTTCTTAACACTCATGGCCACTCACACAATGGATTAACTAAACTATTAAACCATTTCAAAATTGAAATGCCACTTCCAAATCAGTTCAACTATTACACATTTCATGTGTTTGTCTAGATATCATTAAACTAAATTAAATGGTCAAATCATGAACAAAGCTAGCCTGTTGCCATTACTAACATACTGAAAGCCGATCATTTAAGCATTGCTGTTCTATGCCATCTATTTGCTAATTCTGAGCCTTTAGGAAATCCTATTTGAAAAAAATAAATACAGCTCTGCGAGTTCTTTTAAATAGCACTATGCCTGTAAGGACATGCCTGGAATGTAGAAGGAAATGGCTTACCTTTCTTAATTACAGTTTGATCTGGGATGTTAATACCCGGGTCTTCTACATGCTGCAACAAAAGGATACACATGGATGTAAGTGTATAATCAAAACAAAAGGAAATGAATATTCTGTGCAAGATGGGGGGAGGGGGAAGGTATAGAATCAAAATTTCCTCCTCCCATATAGTGACATATATAAACATCTCATCTTGGCTTATTGGAATTTGAGGCTTTGGAACTCAAGAGGTTTCACTGCACACCCACGGCCAATTTCTCCTCCCCCAGCAAATAATCCATGTTTGAAGGAGGTGGGGGTGGGGAATAAAACTTTCTTTGCAAATTAAACCAAGTTTTGGAGCACCTAATCTTTCTCACAAAGTCAGTTCAACCTTTAAAAATGCACCTAGCTTTAGTTTGGCGCCTCAGTGGCTTCGGACTTCAGCGTTTCCAGTGTTTAGGCAGCAAAAGCCAGGGAAACACAATAGAAATGACAAGAGGCGGGAGTAAGAGGGGAGTGTTGTAAACGTTTTAGGTAATGTGATAAAAAGCAAAGGCGTATACACACCTTCACTTAGGGAAAACTAAAAATCATTTTTAAAGATGATTACTGCCTAAACTGGGTATCAGAAAGGAATATGAAAACAATTAAAAAAAAAAAAAAACCTCTGAGGGTATTTTTTTTTTCCTGTTGTCCATTAGTGGATTTGTTGGTGTGGGTTTTTTTTTTTCCCCTCCTCTCTCTCTCTCTCTCTATTTTTTTTTTTTTTTACAGATGGATGGGTATACGTGTGTGCCAGAGTCAAAACGTGATTAGAGAGTAAAATGAAATCATGTTTTCTAATGCAGAAACTGACAGGCAATATAATGTCTGGCTGTGTTTACAAATTAGCACCAGGGCTGCTGAGATAGAAGATTTCACAATCGTTACCAAACGCAGGCATTACCATTTAAAAAACTATTACTTCCTTCTCTAGTCTTTGTCCAACAATAATACTGATTCGAACATTTTCCATTCTGTCTTGGATTTATGCTCCTGTTAATTGTGCCTGATCGCAATGATTCCGGGTGGATGGTACTAAGTTGCTTTATTACAGGTTTTATTATACTCAATGCTCTCATTTGTAACTTGCCTAAAGTGCTTCTGGATTTAAGTATAATTAAATTGAGAAATGTTCAGAAATGACTACTGCTGCAGTTCTTGTGTTTTAACTATATGGGGAAATATGATCCCTTTATGCATGCACCCTAAACCCATAAAGTAAATGTAGTGTGGCATAATACTTTTATTTGTGTTATTTCTAGACCTTGTCCATACAGGGAAGACTGTTAAGTTTAAAATCCCACTGAGATATTAATGATTAAATAATTTTCACCATCAATTTGATTTTCTTAAATATTTAGCAGTCATTCTTATTAAAGGTTAACTGTTGCAGCAATGGGAAAATTGAAAACAACCCTTTTCCTGACCCAAATTCCTTTGAAAGAATTTTTTTCTTAATAGATGGGGGAAGGTGGGGAAGAGCAGCAACTGGGTTTCCTTGTTTTTATTTGATCTTTTGGTTAATTTCTCCTACTAATTTCACTACAAAAAGTGACTATACAGGTGTTAAGGATTCACACCAGCCACTTTGGAATTTTTGCAAAGTAGAGCAATTCTAATTCATGGTAATTCCAAAAGGCTGAAGTGCATTTTGCAATTCAAATATGCCCAAAGAGCGGGCTAGAAAAAGGATTCAGAGACTCTTTGGGAGGGGGAACTGAAATGATCACAACTTCCAGGTTTGTTTTTTAATTTGCATTTTCTCAACTATTGCTCCTCTTACTTTACTTCCCAAGAAATGCACTGTTTAGTATGTTTCCAAAAACATTTATGAACACAGACACACACACAATGCTTACTAAACCCCACAATGGATTAAGTGCCTACTTTTTCTGCTTTCCATGCAAGGCTGCTAAACATAACCAACAAATTTCAGTGATTAACTGGGCCAAATGAGAGCTGTAATAAGTTTTCTATTTTCCTATGTAACTTAAATAATGTTTTAAATTCACCAAGCAAGCAGGTAAGTTCATCTGACCATTTTCTTTTGCAATCTAATGCAGTAATCATTAAACTGTCAACGGACATATTGCTGCAATATTTGATGCACTAATTTGAAATAGCATTTTAGTAAAAATCACATCCAGATACATTTCCTCTCCAAAGAAAAGCAGCATTAACAGAGCCTTTACAACTTTAATAAAATTATTGGCTCATTCTAATTCCATTTCAGGAGGGTTGTGAGGAAACCATAAATACGTAGAATTGAAACAGAGATGCTGGTTTAAATTTAATTTCAGAAAGTATTTTCAAATTATCAATAGCCTGGTTTACACTGTAAACAGTAAATGTGCTAATACCATGCTTATTCAGAAATCGTTTTAAACTGCATTTATTGATAACTGGATTAGAACTCAAATAATGTATTGCCCAATAGTCTCAAAACATTTAATTTAATATGGGGTGTAGCAGGTTCTGATAGGAGTTGGGAACCCAGCTAATGATTTATGAGGTCAGCACTTAGCACCCCTAGGAGGAGAAGGAGGCTGCATTTTAATGTCCCTCTGCTCCGATTTGCTACTTACTATTCTTTAATCAGGGTAGGCTACATACACAACTTTTAGATATCACTAGTGCTTATGAAATCCGGTAAAAATAATTTTTTTAGTATGTCGTTCACGCTTTATTTTAAACTGCTAGGGTATTTAATGAGCTCTTTTGGTTGAATTTAACATCTTTTTCAGGACAGGGAGCAATCCCCCACGCCAGACTCAGCGGTGGAATTAGATCTTCTCCCAATCGAAACAGTTTACTGTCGTGGAGAGAGGGGCAGATATTGTTAATGGTGACATTCGTCTGATTTATTTCTGTGTCGGTGGAAATGGTAATGCAGGCATTGTTTGAAGGAGCTCCAGGAACCATTGTTCTAGGGCTATAACTCTCAACTACTTTTTAATTTTTTAATTCGGTCGTTTATGTGGGTTCTCCAAGTGTCCGCCCAAAAAATAAAATGAAATTTTGAAAAAGTAAATGCCATTGAGGGAAACCCCGGGCCCACAGGCGGGGTGTCCCGATCATCTTCTCTGGGGGTGGGTGAGCTGGGGCTGCGTTCTCCCTCGCGCCGCCCGCGCGTCCTCTTACCGGGACATCCTCGATGGCGTGAGGTAAGGAGTGGATCGGGAGGTCTCCGAGTCCTGAGCTAAGCCCGTGTGGGCCGTGCAGGAGGTCTTCGTGCCGCCGGTAGTCCCTGCGAGGATCCAGGCCCGAAAGCTGGTGGGGCAGCCCCCGGTGCGTGTGCAGGAGCCCAGACTCCTGGCTCTGCCTCTGGCCGGGCCAGCCCGGGTGCTGCGGCTGCGGCTGAGCGTGCAGGGGGTTCAGGCTGTAGGGGTCGTTGACGTGGGAGTAAGGATCTTGCGACTGGGGGTAGATAGGCTGGTAGGGCGGGGGGAAGTAGGGGGGCTGGAAGTCGGCATTAGGGGTGTGGGACAGCGGCGGGGCGCTCGTGTAGGGAGATTGACCTACAGTGCCCAGCTGGGGCAACCGCGCCGTCCCGTTGCTGGTGCCGTCGTGGCGGTCCTAAGAGAGAGAGAGAGAAGAAGGGGGGAAAGAACAAGAAATCAGGCGTCGAGTTACAGCTGTCCACTCTAAATCCACTCCGCAAGACTGCGTGGGAAACCGCTCATTCCGGTCGGCAGGCCGCCGAAAGAAATGAGCTCTAAGTTGTTCATTTCGGAAAATACCCAGTAGTGAAACGGGCTCTTCCAAAAACGCAGGGAATTAGATCGTGCGAATGTGGGGGCATAAGAGGCTCTGTTTAGGCTTTTCTTTCAAAGTGTGTGTGTGTGGGGGGGGGGGAGATAGAAAAAGGCCTCCCAGAATACAGCCCGTTAAACTGCAGCGTGAAACCTCCCTTAAGCAAAATTAAAATTCCTGCTAAATATTAAACAGTAGAAGCGGCCTTTTCTTTTTCCCCCGGATTTGAACCTGCCTGCCACTGCGTTATTGTTTACCCTGTTCCATTTATTTGGAGGGGGAAAAAAATCATACACGTTCAAAGACTATTACCATTTCATGACTATTTAAATAGAAACATTTCGTAGAGGGGCTGTAAGGAAAGCACACCTTTAAATTACCAGCTTAAAGAAGGTTTTTACTGCAGAATGGGGTTCTGTCTTTTCCGCTTCCTCAGTTAGGAGCCCTTTTCTCGACAGGGTCGATTTATGGTACGGATGGGGAGAGGGGGGACGTTAAGTCAAGGTTTAAAATAGAAAAATTCAGCCTTATTGGGTTTAAAAAAAGAGAGAGATGCACCCCGGGGCGGAGGCTCCCGCCCTTTGCACCCCAGCCCCAAAGGGCAGAAGAAACGCCTGACTTTATGTTCCTCTATTGCAATTCGCTTGCAAAACAAGCGAACAGAGTTGATTCCAGGGAGTGCGAACCCTCGGAGGTTCAGCCCCGGGCCCCGAGGGTAGGGGACACACCGGCCGCGTTTTTCCTACAGATGGATTAAGCATCAAACGTTGAGAACATCTCGGGAACAAGTGCAGACGCAAGGAAATAAGGATGAACGTGGCGAGAAACACGCCTGGGGAAGTAGCGGCGAGGTCGGTCTGCGCGCCGGGAGAGGTCGAGCGGGGGGCGGGGGGTAATGCGTTCGACTTAAGAATGAAAAAAGCGAGAGAAAGGGGGAAAGAGAGAAATGCAAATGGAAAAGGGGTGCCCTGAAGGAAACCTGGGCGCGAAACCCGAGGTTGCGGGCAGCTCCGCAGCACCAGGTTTCCAGAAGAGAATTCCTAAGGAAACAGGGATGGGGGTGGGGATGGGACTCACCATAGCTGAAAAACTGTGAACTAACATCTGCGAAGAGTCTGGGGTAACGAGTCAGGGTGGAAAAAAACAAGCAAGCCTGGAGAGCCCGGCTGCCCCGCCGCCCGAGCGCGCCCCACACAAAAGGCGCCGAGAGCCCCGCGCCACCCAGGACTCCAGTCACCGCGCAGACGCTCCCCCGAGCGCTGGAGCCCCGCTCTGGTCCATCCGAACTTGAACCACCGATTCGAGCGGCGCCTTCAGCTGGTCGAACCCACGGTCTCTATCCTGCCGTGATCGGTTATGATTCAAAGTTCCTTAAAAAATGAAAAACCCCAAAAAAGGAAAAAGAAAAAAAGTGTGTGTGTGTCTGTGTGTATGTGCGTGTTCCTTAATCCGTGTCTCCCCTCTTTTCTTAGCGGCGGCTTCGCTTGAGCTTCTAAAAACCGCGCTGGGCAGCGTTCCTGGAGCCTCCTAATAGCAGATATTCATGACTATTAATATTACACGAATACTTAATAAGGGAAGAATGCCTGGAAATCGAGCGTGAAGCGGAGAGGCAACTCGCGCCGGAGCCGGCTCTCAATGCAGTCCATTGACGGGAGCCTCAGTGTAGCAAATCGGAGGTGGGGAGAGGGAGCGCGAGAGACAAAAAGCGGGCGAGAGAGGGAGCGGGCGAGCGCGCGGGGGGCCGCGGCGCGGCGTCTGGCGAATCACAGGGAAGGGGCAACATTTTAAAAGGTTGCAGGGCATGCAAAAGTGAAAGAGAAAGAGGGAGAGAGGGAAACCGAGGGAGAGAGCGCAGAGAGGGAGAATGTGTCTGCGTGCGTGTGTGAGAAAGAAAGTGTGGGTGAGAGAGAGGAGCCCAGAGTGGGGAGAGGGGAGGGAGGGAAGGAGGGAGAGCCCGAGAGGAGGAAGGGAGGGAAAAAGGGAGGGAGGGAGGGAGGGAGGGAGGGAAGGAGGGGGAGGGGGCCGAGCCGGAGCGCACGGAGGGGGAGACCGCGGGGGAGGGGGAGGGGGAGAGGAAGCGAGCGAGGACAATCAGACCTAAAAGGCTGGGGCAGACCTCGGGATACCGTGGGGGCCGCGCGTCGCGGGCAGGAGCTGCCGGGGACCGCGTCCGGGCATTCATCGGGCCCTCGGCGCGGGAGGTGCTGCCCGGCCCTCTCGGGCCGCGGGCTCCTCCGCTCCGCAGCCGGGCCTGGGACTCGGGATTCGGCTGCCCGCTGCCGCGCCGCTCCTCCATGGCCCGGCGCCCCGCCCGGGACCGGCCCGCCCGCCCGCTCCACCGGCCCTCGCCTCGGCGGCCGCTCGAGCTTCCCTCGGACAGCCCGGGCCGATCGCTCTGCGGCAGCTGCCGCCCCGCCCTCAGCTCTCCGGCGCAGGGGCTCGGGGAGGGGGAGCCGGGACGCGGTCCGGGGCGCGCGGAGACGCTAGGCGGCCCAGCTCGGGCGCCGCTGGCACGGGCTCCCGGTTCCCGGCGCAAACCCGTCCGACTGGCTGGGCCACTCCCGCCCGACGCCCCCCCGCCCCCCCGGATGACACGGCTCGCTCTCTCCCAGCGCGGCAAGACTGCCGCCGCTGCCAGTCCGCCCGCTGGGTTGTCAGAACAAGCGGCACCTCGCCTCCTGCGTGTCCCTGCAGAGCCCCGACATAATTAGACAGCCCTGGGCCGGCTCGGAAACCCGAAATCCCTGCTCCGGCGCTCGCCCACCGCAAAGTTGTTGAAACAGCCCTCACTCTGTTCTCGCTCTCTCTCTCTCTCTTTGCCTCACTTACACACACATTCGCACGCGCCCCCACAGGGTCCCTCAAGTTCTTCGCCTCCCACCCAGGTCTCATCGGCGCCCAGCGCCGCACAGAGGTTCGGACCCCGCCCGCCGAGGGCCTGGCGCCCGGAGCTGGGTTTCAGCCTCCGCGAAAGTGAAATGCCCGAGCCTCGGGCCACAGCCTTGGCGGGGATAATTCACTCTCGGAGACTGAGGAGCTCACTCGGACCAGTTCGCAGAGCAACCCCCCCCCCGCCCCCCGCCACGGGCCTGAAAACAAAGCGGCTGGTGTGCCCTGGGGTCTCTGCGCCCCGCACCGCGCACAGCAGGAGCCCCGAGAGAAGCGCCGTCCCCGTGGGATGTCACCCCGTGCCCCATGGGGTGAGGGGAGGGCGAAAAGAAAGAGCCCGGGAAAAGAGAAAGATTTAAAATAGTCGACGGAGAGGAGAGGGGGGAAGGGAACCGGTGACACATCGTTCACACAAACCCGGGTTCTGATTTCAAGTGAAGACAAGACCCACGCAGCTGCGCCCGCGCAGACCTCTGCTCCAAACATTTCCAGCTCCAAATGCCAAAGAGAAAGAAAAGGACAGAAAAGAAAAAATAGCAAATGCCGGGATTACCACCTATTTAGGTAATCGGCCGCGGGCCCCCTCCCCCTCCTGTGACTCCTCCGCTTATTTCAGCCGGGGTTGTGAAGGAGTTCGGGGCCGCGGCAGCCAGGCCGGCTCCCAGCGCCTCCCGCGGGCGGGTCAGTGGTGCCGGAGCTTCGCCGGCTGCCCCGAGAAGCCGAGCTCCGGAGACCCTGGGTTTTTAAAATGGGCTCCAAAGAGGCGCGCTCCACCGGCGCCGCGGGCTCCGCGCACCCGAGGTCGTGTGCAGCCCCGCCAGGATTCCCACGGTCACGCAGCCGACTGCCGGGCCGCTGCAGGGGCCGAATCTTGAGGACCCGGCGACTAGGCGGCTCCACGCGGTGCAGCCCTCCCACCTCCACCCCGGGGATGCTCTCAGAGTATCCTTCAGAGGGAGAAGCTGCTTAGAACTTTCTCAATAACACAGATACCTGGAGCGAGCCCCGCAGCAATTTGGGAGAGGGGTGCTTCCAGACTGAACCCAATAACTGGGAGGTGCAACACAGCTCAGAGCGAAGTAGGCTCCTTCTCCAAACAGAAAAGACCCTTCCTTTTTAGAAAGGGGGAGGGGGAAGATAGGAAGGAAGGAAAAAAATGAATAAATAAAATAAGGAATTTTAAAGATCGGAGAGGAAGTATAAGGAGGGAAATGGGCTCTTTCCTTTCTCTTCCTGGTGACTCAGCCCCCAGAAGCTCACTGGAGACACACGCAGGGTGCACAGACGCGTGCCCAATTGCCAGGAACTGCTTCAAAGACCCATGCTCGTCTCTTCGCTCCACTCTTAGCAAGCCCCAAACTGGCCAGAAAAAAAAAAGGTGGGGGGGGGAGTGGGACACCAGCTTCGAAGGAGGGAAATGAAAGAAGACGGCGTCCACATCCTTCCTCTCCAGCTTCTCCCCTGCGTTCTCCGGGAGAATTGGAGAGGCGGGCGCTGAGCCGGGGAAAGTTTGTCCCACCCGCATTTCGCAGCTGGCTGCGAGGAGAGGAGGCGGCGCGGGGAGGTAGAGCTCGGAGCCGGCGGCCGCAAGGATAACCAGCGCCGCGCTTACCTCGCAGTCCTCGTACTTGATATTATCCGTCAGTTTCCAAAGCATTTTCATGGATCGGCGTGAACGGATTTGCCCCCTTCTCCGCCTCGCACCCAAGTGGAGCTACTCTCTGGGTAAGCGCAAAGTGTCGGCTGCCGGCGGTGAGCGCAGGAG